TGACTCCACCACCAAGCAAAGGGTTTAGATGGTTGAATTTCAGACCAAAGCCAAGTAGACTCTCTAATATGTCCACGCCTTGATTTTCTTTCTTTCTTTTATGTAATATCTAACTTGGTTCATATTGGATTATTATTGTATTGTTGAGATTTAAGATGATTCTCTACTAATGCTTTCTACCCTTCTGAAATATTAACATGCACGCTTGATATTATATTTCACAGAAAACATATGTTGCATTAAATGAGTCCCTTAAGTTTTTGACATCCAACAATCAAATCTGTTAGTTTCAACTGACTCAAACATTGTTCTCTGATGGCGACATACATAGAAGAAAAATGTGTTTTATTTACTCATTCTCACTTGCTACTTGAGTTTTATGAATAGAAATTTGAAATTTTATAATTCAGTAATATACAACACCACCTGCAATAAGAAAATCAGGGTGATGCAAACCAGACAGCGTACATATATATTACAAAGAATGAAGGATTATTTTCTGCTTGGCTAAGGCTGCAAGATCAAGTGGCCTACTCAACTTTGTTTAGGCAATACAAGGCGGTCTTGGCCTTCAATAAGCTTTGCAGAACGAATAACATCACCGGTTTTTATCTCCGGGAGGATATCTCTCCCAATGGTTGTGTATCTGCATATTTTAATAGCATAAAAAATAGAGGAAAATTAAACTCCAAAATCATTAATGTAGCAAGGTTATGAATATTAACATCGCTTACCCAAAAACTGAAAACTGTCCTTCATCAAATGATACCCCTCCCAAGCCAGCCTACAAAAGTAGGAAAAGAATAACTTACATGAATGAAGTCAAATTGTAAAAGAAATAACATTCAAGCATAAAGATTCTGCTTCCACCTTTCACTCTTTATAAACAAAAGTACAGCTAGTGGGAGAGTATGTAGCAGATTGCGCTTACACTTCGTTTATCATAAAGATAGAAGAAAAACTGATCAGGTGATGAATACTCCTCAGAGTCTTCATTATGGGCCATAGCAACTGCCCCATAAACAGATAGAGGAAGGACTGGCAGTTCTCCATCCTTTCAGAAGATACATACATAAGAAAAGAATAAGAACATTATGATAAATATCTGCTAAGTCTGCAGGAAAATACTAACATACTAACATTTGTCGATAAAAAAAAGTCTGCAGGAAAATCTTTGACAGAATAAAACAAAAACACACCTGGACACTTAATTTTGTTTTGTAAAGGGGCTCAAATTGTCCAGAGGGCATTATCTCCAAAGGAACACTGTAACCACTGTTCTTATCAAGCCCATTATCTGATATAATAGCTTGGTTGATACAGCTGAGCTTTATGCCGTTGTATGCTCCATCCATCACCTGAAGGATATGTGACTGTGTGAGTGCAGTTTTTAGTAGATTGTATGACCTAATAATCAAGACATTTAAAATGGCAACACTCAAAACATAGGAAAAATACTACACCTAGTACAGTATATGACTTCAAGTGCACAATTAAAACTATATTCTACATAGTCCATGGCCAAAACAAGAACAACCCAAGCTCCAATGAATATATAAGCTCAATTCATAAGAATTGCAATAACATTTGCACTCCATAACTGCAGACCCGACTTCCTTACTTTTCTCTTCACTTATTGCCACCGTTTTTAGGTTTGATTCCCATCTTTTTATTAAATCTAACGCTTCGACATCATAAACAATTTTGCCAGTTCAATGATATTACATTATATTTTGAACTGGATAATCTGGGTATTCCAGTTAATAACCAATTCTCCTTACATGGAATAGTTGATTAGTCGCTGAATACATTAGATCCTTAATAGAAGTACCTGGAAGCCACTTTCTTCTCTATTTAAACTTCAAACCTAGAGATCAAAACTAAATTTACAGTTGAAGGCCTCAAGAAACTCTCAAGTATTTTCTCAAGAAAAAAAACTAGTTTACTGCATAAATTACAACAATAGCAAGAAAAAAACTGAAGATGAAGTGAAAAATTGAACGTTATTATCAATCAAAACTTATGAAAGATGAGAGAACAGGGATGAACCATCAGAAGTGATCAAAATAAAGAGTGGTATACATAAAGGTTATTGGCAAGGAAATGAAGCAATGGCTATAGGCAAAATTAACAAAACTGAAGGGCGGTTTAACTACCTTACCAATTTTGCGAAATTCCCAGCTGTTAATGGAGTTGAGTATCCGTCTATAACAACCTGAAAACAATGGTTAACTATCAGTTAATATTTAATATACTACCTACCAACAGTTATTTACCCATGCACCATTGACCAAACTGCAATTTTATAGTATGTTGTATTCTTCAAAACAAACCCATTCTTACTAATTAGTTATTATAGATCCTATAAGGGACATGAGGCCCATAAAATTAACACCCAGTAGATAATCATAAAGGTGAAGTTATTGAGTGAACTATACCTGAATGGTGGCAGTTTTTCTCTCTTCACCACGGACTGGAGAAAATGTTGAACCATCACCTTTCTCAATGGTGAACTCGACAGTTCCTCTGCCTGAAAGCCTACAAAAAGAATTGAAAAGATATTGATTTTACCTCCAGTTCCGAGTGTGTAATTTTCCCAAATAATTGAGCTACAAATGTTAACCTTAAATCATATTTTATGTTAGTTTCATGTTAAATCGTCACAGTATGTTCAAGTATGTGAGGGGAGGGGGTATCAGTTATCCATTACGGGGATTTGTGTACTATATCAGCATAGTGCTTGACACGATTTTTGGTAGGAGTTACTGACCGTGGATATTGCATGTACTGCTCAGGCAACAGAAAAGATAACCCTGGTGCCTGTTTCAACAATACCGTGTTAGACTTTGGACATGCTCATAATATCGTTGTTGCGTAAAAATTCAGTAAATGTCCTTAAGAAAATAAAACTACTACTACTGATTTAAAATGCAAGTATATTATCTATTTTGCAATTACCTGTAATAACTCTAGCTCTGCCACAGTATCCAGTGTAGATGCAAGGCTAATAGACACTTTATCTGCATCCTGTTCCTTTATAGATTGAAGAAGAGCTTGCAACCCGGCCTGAAAAATATTTACAATTTGACATCATTTTGGTAGTCAGTACATTTAATGATTACTACCAGTTTCACTTGATGTATGAATTATTTAACACCATAGACGATTTCATCCTACAAAAAGACAGAACAAAATGAACTGAAATGAGTAGAAATAGCCAAATTCCACATTCTATTTTCTTCATTGAATCCTTTTCTTGCATCCAGCAACTTTTTGATACAGGCACAAGGAACTTAGGTGTATTAACTTCAACTGAGAAACATAAACTACTGGAAAGTGTCCTCATTTTCCAATATAAGAACTATAATCACAACCATAATCTCAAAGTTAATTCAACTAAAAGAATCATAACTATAACCGATTTTATTGAAATAGGAATGCTTCTTGTTCCTTTTTTGTGGTTTTTTATTTTTGTTTGGAGGGGGAGAGTTAGCACATGAATGCCTGTATTTAAAATGCCAAGAATTTTATCAAGATATACAAACACTTACATACTCTAGAAGGTATTTTCAAAAATACCTTTCCATCTATTAGAGATGCATGTATCAAAGAGCCCTTTTCCTTCAGTTCTGCTGGTATACTCGCCAATATAGCATCTTTTTCATCTAACGCTATCTAAAGTAAGAAAGTGAGGTCATCATGCCAACATTATACAACAATAGGTTACTGTCACACCAAATATAGCATGAAACATAGGAAGGTACTCTGAGGAGATGCAACAAATAATAGGAACTACACAGGTTTCCATCAATAAGAAATATACAATGCCTTCACAGATGTGGTGCTACAGGAAATAGCTATAAATCAAAATTTTCAAATAGATAACATGGTGGGAGCTAGAACAACTACTGGCTTCATTCTAAGGGATGTGCATGTTCAACAATTACAAAATTTGACCTGTTCCTCATTCAATAAAATCCCCGAGGATCGAGTGAACCTCTTTTATAGATGCAATAATACTTACTAAGTTTGCTCATTAACCTAAAGTATTACATTTACCTTAAAATTCAAAAAAGGCCACATAATAATCATGTAAAAAGTGACAAACAACATACCCAAATGAATTGCATAACTATACACCATTTTGTGCTCCTAGTAACTACGGCAATAACACATTAACACAATAACACCTAATGATGCGTCTCAATCTCGGATAAATAGACAACAAAGAGAAGTGGGCGAAAATGGTTCAAATTATGAATACCTTCAAAACTTTCTTCACATTCCCCTCCATTGTGCCATAAGGTTTTCTCTGTGGAATCCTCAACAAGTACGAAATATCTTCAAGTGAGTCCTAAAATAAGAGAGCAGAAAACATCATGCCCCACTGGTCATTAAAAAAATTGACAAAATTACATAAACAAAGTACAATTATTTAAGTGTTATCATACAATATACATTGACTCCACAATGAAATTGATACCATATATAAATATTCATAACCTTAAAAATCATGTTTTGTTACCTGTATTGCCTTCATGTTAGGGTTAGCAGGTATAGATTTTCTGAGAGCAACTTCACCAGTTCTGGGAACTTTTGTATCAGGGGAATAAAGAACTGCCCTCGCAGGAGGAGTTATATAGGACCATGAATCTGATGAAGAATCAACCAAAGGAATCAAAAATGTAATCTGAACTGAGACAAGTACCATTGGAATTAAAGTCTTCAATTGCTTCATTCTGGGTTCAATAATTGCTTTTGACACTTCATGTTGTTGGATTACTAGCTCATGCAGCTTAAATACCAAAAAGCTAGTTAAGAAAAAGTGATAATGCGAATTATGTAAATTGAAGTAAAATGTGGTTAGTAGTGTTAAAAGTGTAACCTTTTTGGAGATTGCGGAAGGGGGTGGAGGGTGGTTGGTGCGAAAGAGTGTTGAGATGAGAGAGGAAGAGAGAGAGAACGCCATTGAAGTTGAGAAATGGAAGGAAGGAAGAGATTGTTACTTTGTTTTGCTATCTTGCGCGCCTAATCCGTTGAGCTTAGTAGAACAATGAACACGCGTCATGTCCTCTCTCTGTTTAGCTGAGGTTACGTAATGACGTTAGTGCCCTCGGTTTATGAAAACGGGAAATAGAAGAGAACAAAAGGTCCCACCGAGATTTGAACTCGGGTTACTGGATTCAGAGTCCAATGTCCTGACCACTAGACCATGGGACCAATTTGTTTGAACATTTAGATCTTTCATTATAGTAGTAATCCATAATATAATTACTTAATCATATGGTTCCACTTTGCCTCCCCAATGTGGACAAAATCACAAACTATACATATATTGGGTATATATAGAAAATAAGAAATTTCATGTCAGCAGAATGTCCAATCCAACCTCACCTCATGTGGGCCATGAATAACGTGCTGAGTTGGCTTACAGAGTCCGAAGTAGAAGACTACAATTGAGTTGAACGCAGTTTGATTCTTCTTTTTTTGGTGACAAGATTATTCTAAATATGAACTTAATTGTGTATGAAATGGATGATCCTGGTTCCTGAGTTTCAGACATTAATTCAATAGAGAGGGAGGAGGAAGGAACACATTCTTTTATTAGTACTTTAGGAACTTCTTTAATTACAATATGATAATCTAATACCCTCATTGAATTCATTAGGTACAAAATCAAACTTAGTGATTTATTAAAGCACTCAAATCCCCAACAATCACTCTGAATGACCAATGAAAAAGTCACACATAATAAATAACATAATGATATTAATTTTTATGTGACATATGATATTTTTTAATACAATGTTTCCATCTTGGATTTATAAAACGATCATCTCTGTTACCATTCCATTTTTTTAATAAAAAGTCCTAGCATAAATCAAGTGAGGTGGGTTTAAAAAATGAGAAAAAAATGAATGCACCGATAGTGTATAAGTTTTATACATTATCATTGTATCATCTATCATTCATGTTTTATGTATAAATCTTTATAATGCAGTGCATAAATGTTAAACACTTAAAAATAATGAATGAACCAAAAAGGTCATGACATATTTTAATATAGTTTGCCATAAATTGATTAGAGTTAGCTAATTAATGAAGTGCATACAACTTTAGACATAAATAAATAAAATAGAAAATGAACCGGGTTGCCTCTACAAAATTTTTGCCTCAATGATGTAATAATTGCATGACAAAGAAATCCTCATAAATTTGAGGAGTCCCAACTAGCATAAACAGCATCAATTAATTTTTCATGCAATGTGACACCAGAGCATGCAATTATACCTCTGTCAAGACCTTCCAAGTAAATTCCCTTTGAAAAGTCCAGAGGACGGCCGCCAGCGTCCGTTACCACACCACCGGCCTCTTCAACAATCACAACACCAGCTGCATGATCCCATGTCTTCTCCTTGTACCCCGACTTCGCGAATTTCATGAATATCTCGGCATCTCCCCGAGCTATTGCTGCATATTTTACCATGCTGTGGACACGCAAAGGCTGTTTTCTGTTGAAAGAGTTGATCAATTCAATGATGGTGCTCAAAAGGGAATATCAGAGAAGAGGAATTTAAGTATCAAACCTTCACTGAATTAATAAAGTGATGCATAATATGAACCAAACAGGCTATAATTTCCAAGCAAAGGAAGGTGTCTGGTCCATGATTCTTTTATTTCATATCTTCATATATGGGACATGCATTTAAGAATTGAACCAAAATCTCTATATAATAACTCATTCTATCATCAACTTACTAAACCAGTTATAAATTTCCAATGTCATGGCACTTAAATCATAAACCTTCTAACACCGTCCTCCTTAACTGCATTACCCAATTCAATGTGTGAAATAGGTTCAAATGTTGGATAATTTCGAATTGAATGAATTCTTATTCGTTACTGTCCAATTTATGTTATTTGTCGAGATTGGTCTGTAAGAACCATCGAGTCTTCGTCTCACTCGTATCAAATCCTAGCTACTCTAATGCTCGTGCAATTTAGCTTATAAACCTCATGAACTCAAACTCATTAGTTCGCTCTGGATCTTCTCAATTCATCTTTCAGCTTCATTGCTCTAAAAGCAAGCCTTGAATTAATTAATTTAGAAATTGCTTAACTTAATGGGAGAGAACACCGGGCTTGGTTCCGTACTCCCTCAATCCAAGAAGGAACTCCACAAGCAAGGAACCATTACTTTCCGAGCATATTAGCGAAATGGACATTTGATAAATAAAGGAGAAAATATAATACCTTAGTCCCACACTATGAGCAAGTCCAGCAGTGAAGGAATGGTTCGAGTTTGCCCTTTCCACTGGTTCACAGAGAGTTGCTAATGCTGGATCATCAGTGGAAGAAACCCGAATAAGTCTAGCACAATTAGGCCACTCTAGCATCTTATCTCCAGAACTTAATGACTGCAACCATGCCTCGCCACTGCCTCTCGTTGCATACAGCACACATCCTTTTCCCCATTCATCAGCAGTTGTCTGAGATGATTGAGATGTAGTTTGATGATACTGGTAACGATAATTTAGCCACTCTGTCTTTACTGGGTAGTTAGGGCATCCGAGAACTCCAAGAACAACTTTTCCATCTTCAATCAGGGCTAGAGCAACAGCATACTGATCTCCGCGTACAAATCCTAATGTGCCATCAACAGGGTCAAGTACCCAATGTCTTCCACTGGGGCCTCCAGTTGAGTTGCAGCGGCTAATGGCTTCAAGAACGTCCGAAGTCCCAAGAGTTGTCTCTGGACTTCGAAGACCGTACTTGGATGCAGATGCTAAAGATTCGTTGACCGTATTTACAACAGCTTGCAGTAAGCCAGCAGAATCATCCTTAGAGATAGTTTGTATATCTTCTTCAGCAACAATTGTCACATTTTGAACCCCAAAATTTTCAGATAGTAACCAACTAACAGTTGCTTGAACACTCAAGTCTTCTCATGCAGAGAAACGAAATGAAACACATGGTCAGTTTACTATGACCAACATTCGCAGAAACAACAAAAAATTTGAGCATCATACTTAAGCACACAGAAAAGGAGAAGTGAAGTCCCACAAAACAGGTTCAACAATTTCTAGTGATTTACAACTTACTAATAAAAATGTTAACATTCAATCATTCATAATCCATACATTCCTAAATTTATAATGACCTACAAGATGAAACAAATCAATGAAAGTTTCTAGTCACAATGTAACTATGATTTCCAGTTTCCACCAACTAGAAACTGAGCACCACAAAAGAGACATACACAACCAGAAAAATAACATGAAATCATGAAAAGTACGAGCAAAAATATAAAGCAAGTGGGCAACATCTCCAAAGAGTAAATTGTGAACCATAGTCATCTTAATGGATTCTGTGCAAAAGATTCATATCTTATTCTGAGTAAAATGAATCTCCTAATATTTTATAATTGGCTAGGTCTAAAGTGCAATCAGTACTGCAGTTATCAGATTCTACCAGTAACCCTAAGATTTTCGCACCTGTTCCTTCGTACTGTGTACCCTAAGATTCTACCAGTAACCCTACCAGTAGCAGCATTAACATAATTTCAAGTTTTCAATAGCTAACCTAGACGTATAATATGTGTGTGTTCACTATATTTATATCTCAAACAAATGATTTTACTGGTAAAGTCATGTTAATGAATGTTATGAAACAGCTGAAGTTACTCAATAACTGTATGGAGAGGTTCACAAGCACTTTGAGTCAAGAATGCTCCGGTTCCAATGAACAATGTACTTTTCACTAGCAGTTATTTTATACTTCACATTTCCTTATGATAGCCACTGGTTTTCTTCCGAATAACTCATTAGAGAAATATGTGGACACACGGTAAATGCCAAATGAAAATACGAAATCATGATGCAAGATCAAATGAAAATACGAAATCATGGATGAAGGATGAATATATCAGGTTATCAACTCAATATTTAAATTTAATTGGCACTCTACTAGTCAGTGAGACCTCGAACAAATCCGATAACTCCATACTCCATACTCCAGAAAGAAAAATGGTGACAAATGCACTGTTGCAAAAATTACCCACTACTCCACTAGAGATTTCAGTTTCACAAGGAAATACACACTCCACTGGTTTCATTTTGGTCCATCATACAGTTTGTGACCGGGGCAATAATGTAAATAGAAGATTTAGCCAATCCCATATGAATCTTCAAGCTGCATTACCTATTGAAGATTTAAATTTCACTAACAAATAGTTCATTGTATTTGATCTAAACTGTTTCATCCAACATTTTTACATAGTTTCAAAAAAAAGATAAGATTTTGGATACCATATTTAATTCCACCCCAATGCAGACTTACAATTATGCAATTCACAACATCCCCAAAACAAAAACATGAAAAAGGGGTAAAGGGTGTTGAAATTGAAAGAAGAAAAAAAAACCTGCAACAGTAACAGGAGAATCATCATCCTTGGAAACAACGAGATCATTGGTGGTTGCAAGGAGCTTCTCCTGCACTCTCCCACACAGAGCACATGCCACGTGGACAACCCTCACCGCTACCTCCAATTCCATTGCGTAGTTGTTATCATTTTCCTTCCTCTCCGCCATGGCCAAAACAAATTCACAATAACAAACACGTCCCTTCACAGTTCACAATCAGAAAATTCCTACGTACCCACCTCCTAAAAATACGTTAAATATTTCAGAGATGGGGAAAAGATTTTGTTTTCAATGGACATTGGCATCATTTCCCTAAAAGCAAAATCTGCAAATGAAATATGGGGTCGTTCTTGCTCCGATTAAAAAAGATTTGAATCTTCACCTTTTTTTTCTTTTCTTTCAGAAATCTAGAAACCCAGGCTCGAGCCTGCAAAAGAATATCCAAATCTTATATAAAAGGAAAACCAAAAAAAAACTTTGGTTGGGATTATATTATATTATATAGATAGAGATGGCAAAACTTTGGAGTAACTTGTGCTAAAATTTAAATAAATTATGATATAATAATATGATTTAATATTTGAGAAATTTTACTATATAAGGTAATTTGTTCAACTTCATGTAGTATATCAAGATTTGTTTTAAAAATATTTTTACTTTTTTTTATTTTATCAATATTAGCTGCCTACGAACCTTTTAGCGTATTTTAAAAACGGACAATACATAAAAATTTGCTAAAAAATGATCATTATACATATCCGAGTTGTCTAACGTCTCATTTTGTCATTACAATGTATGG